TCTCGAGGGCCACAGGTCGTCTCTCGGCTCCGGGGCTCGTCGGTCGGGGCTGGCTCCTGGGATCGCTCCTCTCCGGTCTCCGTCTGGCACCACAGTGTCTCCCAGGGAGGCTGCAGGTCCTTATCTGTACCTCTCTCCCCTCTCGGGACTATCCTCAGCTGTTGCCATCCCACACTCGCCCCTTTTCGACGGTCCTGGCGGGCCCCATTATCCGGGCCGTTTGCCGGAATGAATCGCCCCTGGCTGGCCAGGCCGCGGGGCATCCAACTGGCGCATGCCGCTCCTGGATTCGGGTCTCGTCTGGCCGCAGCGAAGACGACTCTCCTGGTCGGCAACAGCTTCGAGGCGCCTTCCTGGCACCGCTTTCCTTCGCCTTCGTCTTGGGGTGCGGGTCAGGCGCCACCGGGGTCTCTCCCCTCAGGCCTTGGATACGGCGTGCACTCCGACCCTCCACCATCGTTCCTGCTCTCTAGCCATCCCGCGACCCTGCCTCTCCTCCTCTGGGCCCATAACTGACCAACCGCTCTGCTTCCTATTTTAAGAACTCAGCGCCATTTGGTGAAATTAATACAATCTTCGCGGGTACAATAAATTTATAGGGATCGCATTCCCTCCTACCCCGAGGGTGCGACCCCAGGTTCCCCACTCGGCCGGGCATCGGCCCTGGTGACGGAGCCTTTACCAGGCGCCACGTCACATTACTTATCTATTTTTATTTTTCGTCGCAACGGTTGGAAGTATGTAGTTACGCGTAGCAAAGCCAACAGTAGACTGAGTTCAAGTGGTAACCGGTGACTGTGGTGTGTCGATAAACAAGCGGAAGGGAAACAATGCTATTTTTGTTAGATGGTATATATGGTCAATAGACAAGGAGGGAAAAATAGTGTCAATTAATAAAATATTAGGCGATATCTATGATCTGATCACAGATCGAATTTAGGTTGTCAGTGTCCTGTAAGTTTATCGTGTGGTTAGATTTTTTTATATAAAACATTTTGGCAATCTCTCTCCTTCTCATATGTTTCTCGCTATCAGTGTTTGCTGTTATCTAAATAAAATTATATAGATGATTATCTAGATAAAATTTTAGCGTTATCTTATCTTTATATAGATAATAAAAATAAGTATTATCTACATATATCTGCATCTTAGATGAAAAAAAGTGTTATCTTTATTAAATTATCTAAGATAACGTACAGATAATTTGGCTTAGGGCCACATAAAAATACTTAACAGTTACACTATTTAAATATGGATGGCGTTGTAGACCATGCATTTATGTGTGTGTCATATAACCTAACCTGAATATATTCTATATCCCCCTTTATAATTTAAATTTTTCTATAATTTTTTATAATTTTTTCTACTGTGTTTACATGAAGTCTTAAAAATATTATATGAAAATTATCTAGATGAACCATCATATAATTTTATCTTTTATCTAGATATATTCAAAACGAAATCATCTTTATCTTATCTAAGATAAATTTATTATATATATTTTTAACTTATCTTTATCTAGCTAATTTTAAAATCATCTATGCACAACACTGCTCGCTATGTAAGACTTCAGGAGTCGACCAATCGAACTCATGTCCTTCTATTGTGCGATGCTTACTTACAACAGAATGGTTACTTTGGTGTTTTTTAATATCTTTAAAATGTTCGTTTATGCGGGTCTCTAAATGTCGCTTCGTTTGTCCTATGTATGATACATTACAATCGTTGCAGTTGATTTTATAGATTACATTGGTTCTTTTAGTTTGGCTAATTTTGTCTTTTCCTTTTTTATATAACCGAATCAAGTTTCTTAGGGATGGTGAACAACGTCTTGAGACCACATTTACGCAATCTCTGGCCAACATTCTCGATGGTGCCATTAATGTATGGTAACACCATATGGTATTTTGGGTCACATGTTTTGGGAGCAACTTCGTTGGCACCACGTATCGCGCGATACTTGAGTTGCTTCACCCTCATCTTAATGTGTTTCTCGATGAGTTGTTCAGGGTTCAGGACTTTTTGACTCAGAATTTTATAAGAAATAACGCTATGTACTTGGTAGGAGGTCTTTAACCATTAAACTACACACATTCAAATTGAGACATACACTACACACTGAGGTCAATCTGACCCCACTAGTTTAAACAATTGCTGCAATGATACTATTAATTTTTTGAAGTTGTAAAAAATTAGACATGTTATATGAACATTAACAAGTAGGATAAACTTGGTCCGAGCCATAAATAATGATTGCAATAATTTAAAAAAATTAAAATGTAGAAAGAAGCTCAAAAAGTGCCGTTTTTTACTTAAAATTCAATAACTTTTTCATTTTTAATATTTTAACCTAAAAATTTAACTGGATACTCTTGAAACAATGTTCTTTAAGATAAAAATAATTGCAATAGTGCACATTCCAAAAAAGGTATTTACTTTGACAACCGTAGGTGTAATATTTCGGAAAAATTGAAGGCACATTTTCATTTTTTTAAATTATTGTAATCATTATTTATGGCTAGGAAAACCAAGTTTATCCTACTTGTTAACGTTAATATGACATGTCTAATTTTTTACAACATCAAAAAATTAATAGTATCATTGCAGCAATTGTTTAAACTAGTGGGGTCAGATTGACCCCAGTGTGTAGCGTATGTCTCAAATAGATAGTCTTTTGCGTGTAAAATGTTTTTTTTACAAAATATGATAAATAAAGGTTGAATACATTATTTCAATACAACATCTGGCGTATGCTCCGAGTTCGCAAATTATACGCCATCTAAAATTTATTATAATTATTATAATTTATGTTATAACTAATAAAAAAAATCACACGGTATATAAATTAATACCTACATTTTTCTAGTTGAAATGCAGTAAAATTGAACAAAAAAAATTATTAAAAAAATTCCTCCCAATATTCGTATACTACACATGGGGTCAGATTGACCCCAGCGTCTCGAAACGTCTACTTCGAAC